AACCTGTGGAATCTGATGCTATCTCAGGGTAGAGTGTCAGAATTGAGCTGAATTCTTGGACACCCTGTTGGTGTCTGAGTTGCTTGTTGGTGTGGGGAAGCCTGAACACACACATACACATACCCCACACACACGCATCAGAATTGGGTCCAGGAACCCGGGCTTAAGTGAGGGGTGCAGAATCTGGTGAGGGGTCACTGAGCAGCTGTTCTGACCATGGCGACTGGCTCCAACCTTGGCTCTCAGGCCCCCACTTGTCCTTGCCTTCCCCATGAGACATGGGATTCTTTTTTTTCAACTTAAAGATTTTATTCATTTATTTGACAGAATGAGAGAGAGAGAGAGAGAGAGAGAGAGAGAGAGAGCACAGGCAGGGGGAGTAGGAGAGGGAGAAGCAGGCTTCCTGCTGAGCAGGGAGCCCGATGTGGGGCTCGATCCCAGGACCCTGGGATCATGACCTGAGCTGAAGGCAGACCTGAGCCACACAGGCGCCCTGAGACATGGATTCTTTCGTGCCTCCACACCTTTGCTCATGCTGTTCTCCCCACCACAACTCTCGTCCTCTCCCGGCATGATGTCTGTGTCTTCTTCCACAACCCCACCCGAGCCAGACCCTGCTGCCTCCCTCCCAGGCCCTTGAGGCCTCCATGAAGGTTCTCCACTGCAGCTCTGTGAGAACTCTGGGCCAGGAGGAGGCAGGCGAGAAAACCAGCGTCAGGGAGAGAGTCCTGCCTTGGTGCATTTTCACTCTTTCACGGCAGAGACCAGCCTTGGAGGAGGGGCAGCCATGACTGTGTCACAGGAAGGGGCCCCTGCCCAGAAATCTGATACCCCCCCCCCCGCCCCCGCTGCCATAGTAGGACAGACTATAGCTGAAGGAGGCTCTACAGATGGGTTCTTCCCACCAGCCCATTTCACAGACCGGGACACAGAGGCCCAGGGTGGGGACCTGGCAGGGTCAGGTCTCAGTGCCAGCCCTCTAGCACAGGTCTCGGCCTTCTCGAGGCTCAAAGGTCACTGGGGACTTCCCGGGATAGACAGCATGGTGCAGCACGTCTGTGGGCGTGAGGCGCGCTCTAGGGGACAAGGTGCTGGGAGGACCAAGCTGGGGTGGCCAGGGAGGGCTTCCCCGAGGTGGTCATGTCCCACAGCACCCCAGACTTGACCTGTCCCAAGCCAATGGGAGGTCTCCCTCAGAAACCCACGCTCACCTGTCTGCCAATCACTCACTAAGGTTTGTGGCTTCCACCTCCTTGACCCTTTCACTCCCTCTGTCACTCACCCCTACTGCAGGCTGCTGCCATCTTCCTCCACTCAGATGAGCGCTTCTATTCTTGTCTCCTTCCTCCTGAGAGCTGCCATCTGATCGTCACCCACCACCATGCTGAACACTCTGAGGGCTCCTCATTGCCCTTGGGACAGAGACCGCAGCCTACACAGCCCTGCTCAGGCTCACATTGCACGCAGCCTCTCCTCCTTGCCACACCTTCTTCTTCTCTCTGCACCCCCACCATGGCGCCTCAGGACCTTTGCACAGGCTGATCCCCTGATGGGCCTGGCTCATGCTACTCATCCTCTGCCCCAAACTGCCTCCTCCCTTCCCATGCACCCCAGAGACCTGCTGATTCCTGGAAAGTCTGGAATCTGCTACCAAGCTCAGAGGGCCAGGCCCAGGCCTGACACAGCCCACCTGGACAGTTTGTTGTTCTTGCACTCTGGCCATGAGCAGCTGCTGCCTCATAGGTTCCGGATTTGGTGCTAAAAATACCCCGTGACCCAGACAGGAAGGGCCAACAGGGACACAGCTGCTCCTGGGAGGGGCTGGCTGGAGCTGCCGGGGCCGTGGGGGGGAAGCCTTTCCACTGCAGTTTGGGGTCCATGTACGGAAAGTGGGTGGGCACTGAGCTCACAGCCCCTGAGGAAAAGCCCCCGACGGAGGAGGCCCAGGGTCAGAAAGGGGCATGTTTATGTCAAAAGGAAAATACCGCAAGGCCCGAGGGGCAGCTTGAGGAGGACTCATTGTCACCTTGCCCAGGGACCACAGGGCCTCCTTAAGCCACATCCTCAGCCCAGGAGGGAGGGTGGGCCCGGCTGGCAGATCTGCCTGCTTAGGCCCAGCTGGCAGATCTGCCTGCTTTGGACGGGCAGGCAAATAGACATTAGCATCCGGCACACTGCCTACCTGCATCTCTAGGCCCCTGGGACCGTGGGGTGTCCAGGGCTTCGCTCCATAAATAACTGTCTGCAGGTGCCTGAGTCAGAGAAGTGGACCTGCCCTGGGCCTGACACCGGACAGGAAAAGCCTGGACTGGTGACAGAGATCTGCCTCAGGCTCTGCTGGGCCTCCTGCTGGACCTCAGTTTCCCCATCTGAGAATACCCAGGCTTCTGAGGAGGGAGCATCTGCAGTGGAATCCAGCCACTGTTCCCCTGGATGTCCCGTTCAGCTGGCAGTCCCCACCTATCCCGGGCTCCTGGCCTCCCAGGGAATGTGCTTCTCCGTTCCCAAGCCAGGCGCCTGCCTTATCGGCCCCAATCAAAGGGGAGACAGATGCCCCTGTCCGCAATGACAGCCCCTCCTATTAGCCCCAGCCTGACCCTGAGTGGAGGGCCCAGAGCTTGCTGGGTGCCTGGAGGCAGGAATAACCTCCACTTACCCATGCTGACATGAAACCTGACCTCCCTGGATGGCTTTCATGACTGGCAGGCGCCAGCTCTGGCGTCTGAGGCCCTGCATCCCCACCCTGCTGCCCTCCCTCCACCTGATGGGATCTACTCTGCTGGGCCCACCTGAAACATGACCTTGGCCTGCTTTGCTGGAAAATGGAGGCCATCCAAGGAGGGGGGGCTCCCAACACCCAAACTCTCAGCACATTGGTCCAATTCCCCCTGTATCAGGCCAGACCTGTTCTCACTCCAGAGTCAAATGCACATCCCCCTTCAATGGTTCCAGCCTCTCCCTCCCCTCCCCTGGGGACTCCTTGAGCCACTCCTTAGGGAACCCCTTTTGGCACCCTTGTTTTCTTAGGATCCACCTGAGATAACTTTGTCAGCTGGTTCTCGGCCTTTCCAGTCTCCTCGGGGGACTTCAGGGCCCTTTCAGGGCATGCCGCATCTCCTACACTTAACGTCCTCACCTGAGCTCCCCACGTTGGTAAAGGCACATCTGTCTGGGCACCTTCCTCTCCCTCCTATCCTCCGTTATCCTGGTTACAGGGGCCTTGGCATGGCTGCATCCCACTGTCTGTTCCCAGGCCTCATCTCTGTGAGCTTCTCACTGCCTTGCTCCTGAAGCCCTTTCTTGGCTCAGCTCTGGGAAGCCCTCTCCAGCCTCCCCCAGCCTCCCTAACCAGGTCTGCCTTCTCTGACTGCGGAAGGGTAAGCGGCCCAGGCGGAGCCTCTTCTCCTCCGTTTAGCCTCACCCCTTGGACGCCTCACGCAGGCCCAAGACTACAAATGCCATTGGCCTACTGAGGACTGACATCCACAACTAGACTGCCTGACCAATCTCTCCCCCAACACCACCCTTGGATTTCTCCAGGTGGATGTTACATGGATGCCCCAAACTCAACAAGGCCAGAATGGGATTCCATCTGCCCGCCTTTTCCCGAAGCGTTCTTCATCTCAGTAAAGGCCACCATCCTCCATCTGCTCTGTGGCTCAGACCGTCAAGTCACCCTTGGTTCCTCTCAAACAGCTCTGTCCCATCCATGGGCAAACCCACCTCCCCCCCCTCCCCCACTCTCCAGGCTCCACCCTGCCCAAGCCACCACTGTGCCCTGCCACCTCCCCCTGCTCACGGATTCTTCTGACAGTCTACTGTCCTTGCGGCAGCCACAGGGACATTTTTAAAGTGGCAATCAGGTGTCACTTGCTCACAGAGGCTTCCCAGATCACCCCATCTACAGTGATGGCTCACTACCCAACCCTCCACTCTTGGCATTATTTGCATCAGTTCACTGTCCTGTGAACACCAGCTCTCATATTAGTACAGGCCTATGACTGCCTGTCTCATCTTTTCTTGGCTGCTGTATCTCCCGCATCCAGAAAAGCACATAGTCTGTGTTCAAGGAAGGTTGACTTAATGAATGAATAAATGGAGTTTCTCTTTTCCATCAAAACGATGAGGCCCTGGGGCGCCTGAGTGGCTCAGTCGGTTAAGCATCTGCCTTCGGCTCAGGCCACGATCCCAGGGTCCTGGGATCGAGCCCCACATCAGGCTCCCTGCTCAGTGGGAAGCCTGCTTCTCCCTCTCCCACTCCCCCTGCTTGTGTTCCTGCTCTCTCTGTCAAATAAATAAATAAAATCTTTTTAAAAAAAGAAATAATGAGGCCCTCTCCAGGCCGCCCACTTGCTCTGGCCAGTGTCGGCACTCTGGGGTCCTTGGGAAGATTCCCTACAAGGAGTCCGCGCGCGGTCAAGTGGACCGCGGCGGGGGTGGGGGGTGGCTGGACACAGTGTTTGAGCGCCTCCTCTGTTGTGGGACAGGTGGCACTGTCTTTGGTTCTCAGTAGGGGAGAAAGACCCGACCGAGTTGCTGCCGGCCCTGGGGGCCTCACAGAGCCTCCAGCCCCGACTCGCATTGGTCCCGCCTTGCCCACGCCCTAGGGTGACCCCGCCCCTTCCGGTCTCACAGCTCCTCGGTCCCGTCTCACCTTCACTCGCGGAGTAATCTTAGCCCCGCCCCCAAAGTCTTGTAGGTCCTTGCTGTTGGTTCTCTCTAGCTTGCCGCGAAGCGACCCGTTCCTCATTGGCCACACGTTCTCCCGCGCCACCACGACAGCCATCACAACAACCGCCACGTGCTCACCCGTGGGGCCTGCTCTTTGGTCCCGAGTCCCGACCCGCCCACTCCCCTGTCCCGCCCCCGGCTTCTCGCTTCCTCCTCCTATTGGTTACCGGGCCCCGGACTCCTCCCTCGGCCCCGGGCGCGCTGCGCCTCCGACGCGGATTGGCCGAATTCGGGAGTGAGGCGGGGTTTGGAGGCGGGTTAAAGAGCGCGCAGCAGGTTGCGCCACGCGTGTCAGAGAAGTTTCAATGGCGTGGCAGGGGCTGACGGCCGAGTTCCTGCAGGTGCCCGCGGTGACGCGGGCCTATACCGCGGCCTGCGTCCTTACCACCGCTGCTGTGGTAAGCTGGCCGGGTGGGTGGGGCCTCTCCATGGCTGCAGCCCGGGAGGGGTGTCGTCATGGTTACCGCTGGATTCCCGGGGGCTGTACCTGACGCGCCCCTGGTTCCGCAGCAACTGGAGCTCCTCAGCCCCTTCCAGCTCTATTTCAACCCGCACCTCGTGTTCCGGAAGTTCCAGGTGAGGCGGCCCCACCCATTGCACCTGACAGCCAGGCCCTGCCTGCCCTGCGCCTGACCTCCTGCCTTCCCTCCATCTCCGTAGGTCTGGAGGCTCGTCACCAACTTCCTCTTCTTCGGGCCCCTGGGATTCAGCTTCTTCTTCAACATGCTCTTCGTGTATCCTGCCCCGCGCGGACCCAGGCGTAGGGCGGTGGGCGGCTCTCCGGGCTGGGGGGCGACCCGGAGTGGGGAAACGGAGGCTCCGCCCGGTGGCACTTCCTTTACGGACGCCGCAGGTTCCGCTACTGCCGCATGCTGGAGGAGGGCTCCTTCCGCGGCCGCACGGCCGACTTCGTCTTCATGTTTCTCTTCGGGGGAGGCCTCATGACCGTATCCTTCCAGGCTCTGAAACTTCAGGCCGCGGCGCCTCTGGGGCCGGCCTGTGCTGGCCCTGGGGCCTGACATGAGCGCCCGGGCCGGTGAGGGACAGAGTAGTTCACTCCAGCTCAGGATGTATTTAGTGTACATCGTGTGCTCGGCTCCGGATGTCAGCGCCAGCTCTTCAGTGCTGTACCCAAAATACCACAGGGTGACGTGCAGGAGAGCCAGGTGGGGTGCTTGGGGGCTGAGCCCTGCGTGCCCAGTGTTTGGAGGCTGGGGCGCGGTGGACAAGCAGACAGGTCATGTGGGGCCTGACAGCCACAGTGTGGCCCTTTGATTGGAAGGGCACATCTGGACAGGGGAATGGCACATGGGGGTGATGAGGGGAAACTAGGGAGGATTCCAGGGGGTTCGTAAGTCAGAGGTGTCCCGGGCAGGGGCTCTGAGGCCTGCACCAGAAGGCCTCCAGCACCTTGACTCTGGCTCAAGCTGCTGGGGCTCCTGGGCAGCCTGTTCTTCTTGGGCCAGGCCCTCACAGTCATGCTGGTGTATGTATGGAGCCGCCGCAATCCCCGAGTGAGGGTCAACTTCTTCGGCCTCCTCACCTTCCAGGCACCATTCCTGCCCTGGGCACTCATGGGGTTCTCTCTGCTGCTGGGCAACTCGATTCTCGTGGACCTGCTGGGTGAGCCTGCCTGTGCACTCGCCCTCCCCAGACAGGCCTGTCTGCTGTGCCAGAGCCCTCCCTCCTACCCGCACTGGACCTCTCACCTGTCCTCCCCCCCCCCCCCCCCCCCCCCCCCGCTTCCTGCCCTGCCAGCTCCGCTGTTCCGGGCCCTCAACAAGCCAGCCGGCTACAGGCTCCCCACCTTCGGTGTACTGATGCCCGTGTGGGTCCTGACCAGGGTGGGGATAGGTGTGTCCAGTTCCCAGCCTTGGCTCCTATTCCTCCCATGTTCTCAGGCCCTCCCCTCCCCAGGTCCTGCCCACTTCTGGGCCAGGTAAGCCTGTCCTTCAGGGTCAACCCTGCTCTCCCATCCCGGGGCGGGGGCGGGGGCTGGCAGTCTGTGCAGAACACTGGGTGCTCATACTCTGGGGCCTGAGGTTGCTTGGCCTGGCTGTGCCTCCAGAACTGTGCTCAGAGGCGGGGAGCAGGCTGTGCTGGCCTCGGGCTCTGGACTGTGGAGAGTGGCCTCAGCCATCCATGGCTCTCCTACAGGGATTGCTGTGGGCCACATTTACTACTTCCTAGAGGATGTCTTCCCCAACCAGCCTGGAGGCAAGAGGCTGCTGCTGACCCCCAGCTTCCTGTAAGTGCTAGAGATGACAATTCTCCCGCTACCCTCCCTCAGACGGCTCCCTACACCAGTGGGGACGCCTGCTGGCCTCAGCTCAGCGTGGGCCCCTCCCTACAGGAAGCTGCTACTGGATGCCCGACAGGAGGACCCCGATTACCTGCCCCTCCCGGAGGAGCAGCCAGGACCCCTGCAGCAATGACCCTACCCAGGGCCAGGGCCAGGGCCAGCCCCAGCGGCCTGTTTTCCTGGCCTCTGGCAGGCCTCCATTCCACCCCTAACTCCCGCTTACAGGAGAGCAACCTGTCCTGGAGATGGGGCTGGTGCCCAGGGCCTGCCCAAATAAACAGAATGACCTGCATCTCTTTGCCCACAGCACTGGCTCCCTGCCTTGGCTGGCCACGTCCTTCCACACTGGGCAGGTGTTGCTGGCCTTGACCTAGGGCCACCAAGCCTGGTCTGCCCTCTCAGACCAATTGTAGGTGGTAGGATGAGAAGCCCAGAGGGGGTCAAGAACCTGCCCACAGTTGCCCAGCAGCTTTGAGCTCACAGATGCCATACTCGGGGTTCTCAGTCCAGCTTTGCCAATGCCTTAATGGAGTCTTGGGCAAATCCTACCTGCTCTGATCTCTGCTCAGGGCCAGGCAGCAAGGGGCTGGCCAGGTCTCATTGGCTGGGGCCAGGACCGGGATGTCCCTGTCATGCCAAGCCCAGTTTGCAGGGGCTCCTGCCCATGGTACCCTCAGGCTGATGCCTCACTTGGCTCCTCCTGTCCCTCAGTGGCAACAAGTGGACCTTTGCCCCACTTTCTAGCTGAGCAGTCAATGGACGTGGCCAAGGCTCCATGGGGTCAGGTGCGGCAGAGGGCCAGGACCAGGTCCTTGGCCCTTTCTGCAATCCCAAAGCTTTGAAAAATTTTCACCTCAGCAGAGTTCTACAAAGCTCTCTCCCTTATATTTTTAGCTGAGAACCATGGGAGCCTGATCTGATCCCACAGCTCACTTTTTTCTTCGGTAAAGTGGGCACTAGACACCCTGGCCAACTTGACCTCAGAGTTCCAGTTGGAACTCTGGTTTATTCCTGGATGATGAGCAGCATAGGGGCTCCTCCAGCCGCAGGCTGTCACATTCATGGATGGCCCAAGTATTCACCATGGAGTCTAAGTTTGTAGGGAACCGTGTGGAGTCACAGCTTGCTCTGCAGTGCTCCAAGGGAGCGCTCAGCCCCTGGGCGGGCCTGGTGGGCTGACCTGCCCAGAGGGGCTGAGGCGGGCAGTTTCACTCCATCCCACCAGTTATGGGGGCACATGGACCAAGCAAACCCTTCAGCAATGGAGCCCACTTGTCTCCAAGGCCAGCGGAGCCTGGGCCTGGAATCTTCCTCTTTGTTCAGGGCCTTCCAGTGAAGCCCAACCATCTCCTTGCTGTGGAGCTCCAGCAAGTTGCACTCCTGGATGAAGGGCAAGGGGCTTGAGTACAAACTTCCTGGGAGGTAGGAGCCGTTATGTCCCAGGACATGTTCATAGGACCCCCAGCCCAGAGGGCCAGGCCCATCTACCCCTATTATCCTGGCAATCAAGACCCCAATTCCTACTCAAGAGCTCTGCCCTTGGCCAGTCTGGGGCTCAGGTTGGAAGCCAGGTGGCATGATGTTCCTGCCATGCTCCTGGGGAGCAGAGCAGCCCTGACCTGACAGGGGACACCTGGCAGCAGCTGAAGGCACCAGCCCAGAGCTGGGGGTCTGTTCTCTTCGGTAAGACTGCAGCTGTGTGCCCAATTCACCAAGCACTGCTCAGCTCCACGAGGAGACCCACACATGCCACCCGCACGCAGCCCACATCCCTTCTGTAGAGTGGGGACACTTCCACATGAGACAAGGATGCAGACGGGGCAAGCAGCTCACTGGAGGCAGAGGTGAGGAGAGGCCCAGGGCTATGCCTTCTTCTCAACACACCACATCCCCCCACGGCTGGCCCTAGGCAGGCGTGCTGCTCCACGCGCCTCATTCTTCACAACCGACCTGAGAGAGAAGAGCTGGCCTGGCCCATGGTGCCAGCCAGGGGTGCAGCTGGAAGAGCCAAGCATGGGCCCTCGGGCACCCAGGCTGCTGACACCCCCGTAGCACCCACAAAGGACATGGCTGCTGCAAAGGACTCCAGAGAAGCAATGCTCCGGGGCGGGGCGGGGGGGAGCGACAACAGTCTGGACACAGCAGAGCCCAAGGACAGCAGGAAAGCCTAAGCAGCTTCACAAGGCCAAGCAAAGGAGGCGTGGTGGGGCTGTCACTGCAAGGTAAGTGGGCCTCCTGCCCTCTGAGCCTTGTGACCTCACTTCTGTCCGTCGGTACGAGGACGGCACAGGTGGCGGGTGGAGGGCCTGAGGAAAAGCACGACTGCTGCCGTTGGCCTTGGATGCAGCCTTATCAGCCCCAGCCTGCCCAGATGGGGCTCTGAGGCACAGAAGGGCAAGAGGCCTGGCATGCCAACCTTGGCCATACACCACCCCAGCCAGACCCTGCTCCTCGTCCCCTTTCTTATTTTTATGCTACCACTTTGAAAAAATGGAACATGACCTGTTGTCTTTATTTAAAAAGCGTTGCTAGCCCTACCTGGGGCTCCTATACAAAAACAAAACACAACCCAAAAACGAGGCCTCTCTCTGACCAGAGACTTGGGTGGGGACTGGGGCTCAACAAATGGAATGTGTGCCCAGGGAAGAGTGAGCGGAAGCCCTCCCCACACCCCATGCTCCTCAGAATAGCCCCGGCCTGCCCCCTTGGCCGCCCTCTTTGCCAGAAGATGAAGGAGAGGCGGTCGGATCTTCTGAACGCTCCGTGGGAGCCATGCACCGATGGGCTGGTTACCAGGCTGGGGCAGTGTTGGCAAGACGCCTCATACGCCTGCAGGAAGAGAGTAGGCAGTGACCCAGATCCCCCCAGGGGATCTCTAGTACAGCCAGGGGAGTGGGGACAGAGAAAGGACACGGAAAGGGGGGGATCCCCAGCCCCTCGCTCACTCTAAGCCTGTCTGCTGCGTAAGGCCCTGAGGCTGCCGTCTCTCCAGCTTGCTCAGGCCCTGTCTACCTCTCCAGGGCTCCAGACACATAGGTCTGGGCTGTGGTCAGACCCAACCTAAGGGCTTAGTTTTGTTCCTGGCAGGGACACCCACCCAGGGGCTAGATTGTGACTTATCACTCAGGGGCCTGCCTCTGGCAACTTGGTACCCTCCCAGAAACCAGGTCATCGGGTCCCTCCCCTCCCTTCAAGACAAGTACCTTTGGGCAGAGCCACCTGTAGGGGGCCTGGGGGTGGGGTGGGGGGTACCTTGTGTTCCTGTCCTGGTCGCGGATCTTCTTTTCCATCTCGGCATCTGTCAGAGTCTCCAACAGCGGGCACCACTGGTCAGCGTCACCTGTGTTCCGGATGGCGATCTCCACCGTGGGTAGGGGGTTCTCACTGTGGGCCGGGGTGGGGCGGGAGGTAGTAACTGCTAGTGCACAGAGTAGCAGCTAGAAAGGCCCCCAGAAACCAGTGTCCCCCCCCTGCCAGAACACTGGAGCCAGGGCACGGCAGGAAGGCCCACACCTTTCCTGCCACCTCCTCTGCCTCCTCCCTACCGGGCCGTTTCCATGCCTGGCTCCTCAGAACAGCACTCCTGAGGGGAGTGGCCTGGTCATCACCTGTCACGCAAACCTCAAGGCACAGTCACTGGAGATGCCAGGTCCCCCCACAACAATAGCTTCTCTTCAAAGCACTCTCAAATAGGCCTTTTGTTGCTGCCTAGGTGTCTCTGGTCTATAAGCCTGGGGAGGGCATTCCCCATGACCAGTGTTGCTGGGGAGGCAGGGGAGGGCGGTCTACCCCACTCAGTGCCCACGGCCAGGACCCACCAGCCTCGACGCCTCATCACTGAAAGCCGCTGGGCCAGCCTGCTCCCGAATATTCTGCACACTTGCCCCTCAGCCCACTTCACTGGCCCAACTAAATCCCAGAGAGCTGGGCTATTTGCTTAGGACAGACAGCTGGGCCTGGGACCCTTGTCCCCTGATCACTACAATCGATGGCCCCTCAGTGACCACCCCGATGGCCACCTGCACACCCTCTTGCCAAGGAGACACAGCGTGGGGGTGTGTGTGGGGGGGGCAGACACACACAGGAGCACCATGGGAGGGAGGACACAGCTGAGCTGCCGCCTCTCTGGGCCTTGGTTTCTAAGCCTATGTGACAGGAGGCTGAAGAGGCAAGGATGCTTCAGAGCTGACAGCTCAAACTCCTGGCCTGGGAGGCAAGCCTCAGAGCGTGGCCCTAACATTGACCTCTCCCACCCCCTTCCCACCGTCACCACCCCAGCCTCACCGGGCCCTTTTCTCCCTCCTCCAGCTGGGCGGCCTGCACCCGTGTCCCGAGGCTCAGCACCCCCAGAAGGCTAGTCCTGCTCCACTGCAGCCCTATCAGGTGTCTGCCCACCTGCATAACGGCTCGCTCTGGGAAGAGTAAAGGCGGGCAGGGCCTGGGGGAGGCACCTGGAGGACACGGACAGAATAAAAGGGGATGGCCCCTGATCGGGAGGCCCTGGTTTTGATACTTCATCTGGGAAACAGAAACAGTATCACGGCTGTGAGAGCTTTTTGGAGGATTACTATTATTTAAAGCAGCCAATGTATGTCCACCAAAGGAGCTCCCTAGGGGCCAGGCACCTTGTCACGGAGTCTCCCTGTAACCTGTGCCCAAGGTTGTGAGTGGCCCACTGGGGAGGGGCGTCCACGCAGGCCTGACCAGAGGCTCTGCTCCTCATGCTGCCAGCTGACCCACAGCAGCCGAGGGCCTGCTCCGGCCTCCCCTGTGCTACTCTCCTCAGCCGGGAGTCCCAGCTCGTGGGCTGAGGCTGCCACCACAACCCAGGGCTACCCCTGGCTCCTCTGCAGAAGTGGGACTCACCTCTTGCTGCCGAAGCTAGGCCCCGAAGCCCCAGCTTGTGCTGGTGACTCAGAAGCCAGTGACAGGGGCAGCACCAAGCCCCCACCCGTGCTTCCCCAAGGCCAGCCCTCCTCAGCAGCTCCTGACAGCTCTTCTGCAGCCAGTGTGGTGGTTTGGCAATCCTCAGCCCCCCAGCCACAGACCCAAACATCATTCCTCACCTCAAGGGCTCCCGGCCGCCTTCCTCGGGAGGACAGACATGAAAGGCGCCAAGCCCACACTGAGGGGAGCAAAACATGTTTTTCTCTTAATTTAAACAAGAGCTCATGAGTAGGTCCTGGAGGCCCCTTTGTTTACCTCCCCTTGGCTCTGGGAAGATTCCACTCCAGTGGGTTTGTTCTAAAATAAGAACTAGCTCGATCCAAGCCTGTAAGAATGGGCCTAGAGCCAGCAGGCCTGCC